ACACACTGACCCTCCAGGACCAGGAATGGACACCCTGCAGACACACTGACCCCCCAGGACCAGGACTGGACACCCTGCAGACACACTGACCCCCCAGGACTGGACACCCTGCAGACACACTGACCCCCCAGGACTGGACACCCTGCAGACACATTGACCCCCCAGGACCAGGACTGGTCTACCTCAGTTAATTAAGTTTTGGCTAAATGATTAATTGTCAATCAACAGTCCAGAAACACACCACATAAGATCAGATCAGGAGGAGGCAAAAGAGAGAAAAAATGGGAAAAAAAGGTGTGAAAAGAGAGGGAGGAGAAGAGGAGAGGGAACTTGAAGCTCGAGCCAAGCAAAAACTTCAAGGTCGTCAGAAAAGACCCAACTGGAGCCAAGTATTTAAACCTTGCTAAGAGAGCGTGGTATTCTGTAGCTCTCTTGGAGTTCCTGAATAAAGGATCCCTGTTTAAAATTGCCTCTCCCGCCTTGTGGGTGCATTTAACAAGATAGGGATACAGTGTACTCCCATTTATTTTGTGGCATCCAGATTAGAGAGAGATTTAATCTCAATTGTAGATTGTATTCTAGTATAGCCGGCAGCTGAGCTCTTCTTTGGCTTCTGTAGACGTTACTTGAGAATCAGATACTTTCCAGCAGCCTGGGGTTTTCTGGGGGACAAGTTGTAGACCTCTGAAACGCCTTGTCTGTGCACCTGTAACAGGAACTTGTGTGTTGTAGGTTTATGCTGTGTATAGTGTACTGCGTGTTACTGTCATTATGAATAAATATTTGCTTAACCCAATGTGCCTGCATTATTACTCTTTTTAGCAAAACTGTGCCAGAGAACAAAAAACTCACGTGCCTCTGATTATACCAACCCCTCGGGTATATTCTTGGATAAATGATTGGGGGGTTATGATCAACCATTTTACTTATTTAATAACCTGCTCGGTCATTTACCGATCTTCACCATATTCGTAATCCCACCCATTTGTACCAATTTATTTCTAAACCTTTTGAGAGTGATTACTCTTTTTCTGGAAACCTTATTGATGCTCCATTTGAAAATACGTTGTGTTGAACCTGTTAGCATCTAAATTGTTACTGCAGATTAAAAGGCTTTGCTTTCTCTTAATGCAAAAAGCTTATTACTGTATATTTCTTTATTAATATTACTTCATGAAGTACCACGACGAGGTCCTCCTTTCTGTACATGTCTCTTGCAAATAAAGAGAAATTCTTTAACAAATGAAATATCAAAACGTCTACTTACATATTATAATAAACTGCCGAAATATTCTAAATAACCTGAAATTACATTTGGATAGTTGCTCCGCGCTGCATATTTTAACACGACTTTATAACTTTCAAGTCACAGAAACCTGTATTCGTTTCTGGGTTTTTCACGTACATTTCCAGTTTTTCACCCGAACAGTAACGAAAACATTCGTCTCAGGCACTTCTGTATTCCTGAACACTTCTTGCGTCCTAATAACTTCGCTTCGGTCGAACCCATGGAATAGACTGCGCAGTTTTTTGGAGGGGGAAGGGAAGCGATTTGATGCGTCATCAGCCGGCGCCAGGAACCTCGGCAGCGAGGTTTAAGAGGCGCGGTTGCCATGGTGCGTTTGAAACCGAATGGGCTGGCCTGTATTTTGGTCCTATTTGAATTTCATTACAATTTTTAAAGTTTTTAAACCTCATTTTTTTTACACAGCTTTCTCCCGAGCCAGACCTCCATGAGAACCAACAGTCTGGACTTTTCTGTCTGTTGGTTACGCTTGCAGGGCAGTGCCCCGTTCTGCCTGATTTAAATCCCCTTCCTACCCGTCTGCCCATGAGCGTCTGAGTAAGGCTCTGTGCTTGCAACGCGGGCAAAGCTACGCAGGGCACGAGCTATTGTCCGCTGGTGTTCAGTGCCAAAGCTGTGTCAAAGCTAACTCCCTGGAAGAAGCTGGTTTTAGTTAAATTTTACATTTCCAAAGTGCTTTTGCAAAGGCAGAAGGGACATAATCTGAATGTGGAACAGAGGGGATCTGAAAAGGATGATACAGAGGCATCCCTTTTAAGACAAGTTGGGCGTTGAGGTGAGGCACAGATTAATTTAAAAAATAGTATTATTATTAAGAATACTATTCTTATCTACTGCACGAATATATATAAGAATAGAATAATGAAGTGAATTTGGTATTGTGCTGTTCATCACACAAATTAAAGCTCAAAAGCTCAGGTTTTATATACAGAGTTCGTATGTACACAGTTTATACAGGACAAGCAACACGGTCCACAGGCGCTCGCTCTCATTGGCTCCTTGAAGACAACAGCAAGCTCCGATTGGACGGCTGACGTCGGGGACAAAATAAGAGTCGGAGCCAGAGAAAGCGTGGGAAGGCCGGCTGTCGGAAGCCAGTCAGAGGTCAGTGCAGGTCACCGGGGTCAGACCGTGGATGAGCAAGGTGGGGCCGAGGTCACGGGTCATGACCTCCAGCTGGGACAGGTAGCTCTGCAGCTGGCTGGTGTCAGCGGGGGGGCAGGGCAGGTACAGGAAGCGCACGACGGCGTCGCCGCTGTTCTCCCGCAGCAGCCTGTTGAGCGCGGACAGGAAGTCGTCCGACACGGGTCCCGGAAGCGTGGCGCAGGCCGCGGAGGGCGCGGTGGCGAGGGACGAGCCATCGAAATCGGCACCCTGACCCCCGCCCCCTGCCCCCGGCGTGGCGGCCCGGGGCTTCTTCCCCCAGTGCAGCCGGGCCACGGTGTCCCAGTCCACGATCCGGATGGTGGCCCTGATGCGCAGCTTCCCCAGCAGCTCCCGGAGCTTCTCCTCCTTGGCCATCCAGCCCTGGTCGCCAGACTCCGACTCCACGCAGAGGAAGATGCGCAGGCGGGCGCGGCGCCACCCCGTGGCCATGTTGAGAATGCAGGCCATCTGCAGCAGGAAGAGGCTACAGACGTCCACGAAGCCGCTGCTCTCGGGACGCAGCAGGTTGAGGGGCCAGACATCGATGCTGCCCTTCTCCCTCTCTCTTCCTCTCCTCCACCCCCCGAGCCCCCTCTCCCTCTCCACCTCCAGCTGGAAGAAGTAGCGGGCCAGGCACACGTTCTTCTGCATCTTGATGGCGTCCGCGATGATGCTGACGTACTCGTCCGGCGCCAGAGAGCGGCTGGACTCTGCGTCCCGCACGGGGGGGAAGTGGGCTTGCAG